CACCAAGAAAGGCAGAATATCCATAATATTAAAAATGACAATCAGTCCATATCTGGAGTCTTGCACTTTCTTCTGGGTGCCACATTTTGGGAGGAATATTGACAAACCTGGGAGTGTCCAGAGGAAGGTAACCAGGCTGATGAAGGGCCTTGAGACTATAACCTATGAGGATGGATTGAATGAACTGGACATATTTAGCCTGAGGGGAAAAAAGGATTGGGGGAACATGACGGCTGCCTAAACATTTGAAGGACTATCACCTGGATGAGGGATTAGGATTGTGGACTCAGCTCCTTGAGCACACGTGCTATGTTTTACCTTTGTCTTTCTATCTCCAGTACATATAGCACAGTTTCTTGTACATAGTAATTGTCTTGCATAAGGTAAATAATTTCCACTGTAATATAGACTCCTTGACTATAGGGTTGTTTCATTCTGTGTAACTCCAGTCCAGCTTAGTGCCTGGCACGTAGTAGGTGCTTAATAAATGCTTGTTGACTGATGAATCATTTGTGAATTGACTTGATTGAATTCTGCTTGGTCCAATAGAGCAGAACCAGGGACAAGGGATGGAAGCTGTAATGAGATAGATTTAGATCTGATGTCAGGGAAAGCACTGAGACAGGTCCAAGAATGGAATGGAATAGGTTAGGAGGTAATGAGTTTCCACCCCCTAAAAGTCTTTGAGGATGATTTTTCTTCGGGGATGTTTTAGAGAAGATTTTTGCATGTGTAAGAGTTAAACCAGATGGCCTCTGATGTCCCTTCCTACTTGGAAATTCTGTGGTTTTATGAAATACCACATCCTCTCTGAAGCCTTCTTTGACACTCCAGCTGAAAGTGATCTCTACCTCATCTGAAAACTTTTTTTTAAAGAAACTACCTTATAGTGTTTATCATATTCTAACTTGTGCTACAGTTATTTGTGTTTATCTCCTCTTCCCTAGAAGATTAAATACTCCTTGAAAGCAAAGGGCTTTCAATCTCCCCCCAGTGCTGAACACAAGACTTAGCAAATATTGTGTTTGAATGAATGTCAGAGCAATGGATGGATGGATGGATGGATGGATGATGATATTGCTAGCTTCTTCTGGGGAGCTCAGGCAAAGGAAGGGTAAAAAGATGAGGAGATAGCCATCAATTGGGTAATGGTTGAATAAATTGTGGTATATGGATATAATGAAATTGTGCTGTGAGAAATGAGGAAAAAAGATGGCTTTAAAGAGACATGGAAAGATGTCTTTGAACCGATGAAGATTAAAGTGGGCAGAACCAGGAGAACAATTTATACTATGACAGTAATATTATAAAAATGAGCAATTTACAAACCGGCAAGGGTGACTTTGTCAGAATTATGTTTTTGGAAGGGAGATGAATTTGGCCATGTAGAAGGAATTGGAAGAATGAGAAAGGAAATTAAGAAGAAGACAGATGATATAACCTAGGCTAGAGGTAATAAGGGATTATACTAGGGCAGTGACAGAAATTGAAAGGGAAGGGACAGGAGGGACATTTTGAAGGTAAAATCAGTAGTATCTGGTGACTGATTAATCATATGGATATGGAGAAAGGGAAGATATAAACATGGCTCTAGGGTTTTGAACTTGAATGACTGGGACATGGTGGTACCATTGAAAGGAACTGAAAAGTCTGGAGCTGGCTTGGAGGAAGAAGCTGCTGTGTTTTTGGTTATGGACGATTTTGAGTTGGGTATAGAGTCAGGGGACAAGGGCTCAAATTTTGACTCTTCCACTTTGTGGTCTCAAGTCAAATTCAATTGAGTCAACAAACATTTGTTATGCTCTTACTATATGCCAGGCACTGTGCTAAGCGCTCAGGATACAAATAAAAACCAACATATATTTATTTGTTTATTTATTTGTTTGTTTGTATATTATTATCTTTCATTATCTACTCCTTAAAACAGGAACCAGACTTGTTATTTTATTGATATAGGGAACCAACTCCTTTTGCCTTCTCTGCTGCTTAGCGGGTTGGCTAGAGTACTAAGAGATCAAATGACTGGCCCAGGGTTATACAACCAATATGGAACTTAAACCCAGGTCTTGCTGGCTCTGAAGCCAGCTATCTTGCCACTACATCATGACTAAATATCTCCCAGCTGGGGGACCAAGAAGTATTCAATCAATTTAATTTAAGAATCATTTATTCACGAATCATTTGGCTTCTCCTAGCCTTAATCTCTTTATCTATAAAAATAGGTGTTCCACCAGAGGACCTCAGGGGTCCCCCTCGGTCTCTAAATCCCTTTCTTTGTTCCTGTGCGTAGGAGGCTGAATATCTGAAATGTGGAGGAATGAGAATCATGTTCTCTACTCCAGCTTTACTCTTCCCTCAGGAATGCTGATCCCAGGATGGATCGTAAATAACTTGTCTTTCATTCCCTGCATCCCTTCCCCACTGACTGTCCGAGCCTTGCCTAATAAAAGCATTTCCAAATATAGAAACTTCAGAAATATGGCTTTGCCAAGAGGCGGCATTCTTCAGCTCATCCAAAGATATGGGATCGCTAGCCTCGTTTAGGTGGCCTGTTCATTTTACTCTGCTCTCTGACTCTAATGACCTCCCCTCTCCCCAGCTATGCATGATATAGGCCAGGGCTCCCAGGGACTTAGCAGGAATTTTATGAAGACAAATTGAACAAAACCGTGGATGGCACTTGGGGGTGAGGGAAGTGGTAGATACGTGAACACAAGGTACAGTGATTGCAGCTATAAGTCAACATCCATGACAAATTCAGAAATCTTTTAGGGAGAGGAGAATGAAATGAATGTAATTCACAAAATCCTGAGAGATGGCTTATTTGGAGCTGTTGTATAAATTCCGGCTTGGAGACTGTTAGTTTCTTTTTGTTTTTGTTTTTAAGGAACATTAAAAATTTACCAACAATCAAAGCTCTGAGTTGATATGAATAAACAGCTACCCTCTAAACGTTGTTTATTATTAAGGGCCTTAGGAAAAGTCACTGGAGAGTCGAGAAGGGTCCGATAACAGGGAGCACAGCTGAGTACCAACCCTCCCTTTTTTCTGGGGGCCTTTGAGAGCTACTGAGAGACTGGAGGGTACCAGAGAGGTCATATTTCACTATATTGATTCTAATTGGATAAGATGTTGGCTAATAAAGGAACATCTCATGGGCCTGTGGAAGGGAGAATGAAATCAGTCACAAAAGAGAAAGTGTGATTATTGGGGAATGCATCCCTCTGGCAATTGAGTTCAATTCCAGAGGCATTTATAATGCCTTGTAATTAGCTGAGTTTGCATCCTATCTTCACGACTTGCTACTTTGTGCAGGCTGCGTAAACATTCTCCGGGCCTCAGTTTCCTTATCTGTAAAATGAGCAGGTTGGAGTAGATGACCTCTAAGATCTCTTCAAGCTTTATATTCATGATCTCAAGACCTCGAAAGGCTGATGTCAGCAGCAAAGGTCTTGAGCGGAGTGAGGAGGAGGAGAGAGAAGGGGGTGTTCAGAAGTAAGAAGGAAAGCGGCTGAAATCAACTTCCCAGGTAGAAGGAAGGTACAGGTCAAACATAGAGGCAAGTGGGTCAGGTGGACAGCTGGCTTCTCACCTCAGCACCGAGAACAAAATTAATTCCCCTGGAAATCCTATTTGTATTCCTGAGCAGTCTGTTGCTAGAGAAGGAAAATGATTTGCATGCTGGTGCTACTGGGAATCCCTGGGGCTAAGAGGTCTCTCTCTTCTTAATTCCTCCGGTTTCCTTCTCGCTGGCCCAACCACTGTCATGGTGCCTGAGGGCAGGTGAGGACACAGGTAAAGTCAGGGGCCTCTGGGAGCAAAAGATGCAAATAGGATGTATATATTTTTTATTAAGTAGTTGTTGAAAAGTCTCAGTATGGGGCTTCAGGAGCAAATACCAGTGTTATTTTGGAGGCCTCAATCAATTCTGGGCTTGAGGGGTTTTTTTCTTTTTTTTCTCTTGTCTGGTAAACAGCCCACTTGTCCCGGCTCCCACGTAGAGCCCCAAATAGCAGACAATGCAACTAGGGAGATTAAGACACACAAAGACAACAGGCTTAGGGGCTTTCAGGAAAAGAGTGTCCTCAAAACCTCCTGCAAAAAACAAACAATCAGCCCCCAGAAATCCCTTGGTGTGAATTGTAGAGTGTTGATCCACTTTCCTCCTTCCCAGGAACAAAAATCTGGGGCTGGGTGGTGGGGGGGGAAGGTGTTGACCTGGAGCCACTCAGTCTCAGCCTTCTTGAGTTCTTGGGTGGAGAGGGGAGAGAGGGGGAGAGCAGCAACAGAGGGAGGGAAAGGGAGAGAGGAAGGCCATTGCCTCTTTGAACAACTCAGGAAGTGAAAGGAGTCCAGTCTGTCTTGAAGAGTGAAAGTAGGCCCTTTCCCTAGCTCTGGGGATCTTGGGGCAGCCTGACCCAACACCCCAGACCTGACAGCTGGGGGTATTTGGGGCTTGCAAAGAAAAATAGGTAGAGGGACTTAGAGAGAACGGTGGAGAGAGAGGTAGACAGAGACAGACACACAGAGAGACACACAGAGAAAGAGAGGGAGGAGAGAGAGAGAAAAGAGAGGGAGAGGAGAGAGGAGGGAGAGAGTCGGGGAAGCGACAGAAAGAGAAGGAAAGAGAGAAAGAGAGAGGAAGAGAGAGAAGGGGAGGGGGAAAGACAGAAAGGGGGGAGAGGAGAGAGGGAGAGAGAGAGAGAGAGAGAGAGAGAGAGAGAGAGAGAGAGAGAGAGAGAGAGAGAGAGAGGGAGGGAGGGAGGGAGGGAGGGAGGGAGGGAGGGAGGGAGAGAGAGAGAGAGAGAGGGAGGGAGAGAGATCCGGGCTCGAAATAAAGCCGGACCAGCAGAGTCAGGGACAAAGGCAGGAGCTGCAACGCAGGAAAGAGGAGAGGAGGGAGGGAGACACCCCGATAGAGGGAGGGGTGCAGGGCCTGCGGCAGACCCAGGAGGCTACGGCTACGGGCCCCGGCGAGGGGGGGGGCGGCACGGAGGGCAGGAGCGAGGCGCTGCTGGGCTGCGGGCGCTGCGGGTCAGGGGCGGCCGCTCAGCTAGGAGCGGGAGCAGCAGCAGCAGCAATTGCAGCAGCTGCAGCAGCGCCTGCTGGAGACCGTGCTGCATGGGAGCCCAAGGGGAAGGCTTCCCCCCGCAGGAAGTCGCCCAGAGGAGAAGGAGGGAGTGCCAGGAGGAAGTGAAGCCTCAGTAGACGCTCTCATCCCTGGGCAAGGAAAGGAGACGCTCCGTGGGGCCTGCAGGCTTCCCTGCCCAGCCCCAGTGCCCCCGCGGCTGGGGATGGCCGTGGACAAAGCCCCCGCGGCCTGGCCCTAGTGCCGCGGCCAGGTGCCCTTCTAGGGTCAGCCCAGGCCACTGACCCTCCGCCCCGCCTGAGGTCAAGAGCAGCATGGCCTCGGGAGCGGGCCCGGCCTTCGAAGAGCTCCCCCATGACGGCACGTGCGACGCCTGCGAGCCGGACGAGGCCGAGCGGGCGGTGCAGCTCTGTGACAGCTGCGGCTTCTGCTACTGCCAGCCCCATGCCCGCGAGCACCGCCAGAGGTACCGCAGCCACCGGCTCTGGGACTACGGGGGCCCCGGCGGGGACCCCGGGGAGCCGGAGAAGCTGGAGAGGAAAAAGTGCTCCGAGCACGACCAGGAGCTGAGCCTCTACTGCAAGCAGGACGAGCAGCTCATCTGCACGCTGTGCGCCGTGGCGGGCTCCCACCAGCACCACCCCCTCAGCACCTTAGACGAAGCCTACGAGACCATGAGGGTGAGGACGGGGTGCTGGGGAAGCAGCCGGGGCGGGCAGGACTGGGGGCCCAACCTCACCCTTTGCATCCCCCAATCTGAAGAGGCTAGGCCTGATGGGGACCCCTCCCAAAGCTTAGGAGACCATGAGGGTGAAGATAAGACCCTGGGGGAGGCGGAGTAGCTCTGGGGCCAACCTCATCTTTTTCATCTCTCAACCCCCCAATCTGAAGAGGTTAGCATCGGTGACAAAAGCTTACTGAGGTCTGTCATCCTCTTTGAAGACTATTGAGATCATGAGGGTGAAGACAGGGCCCTGGGCAGGGGGTGTCAGGGCACCCAGGGGCCTGTGTTCAGTTCTGGTGCCAATCAGGGGTTTGGGTACCAACCTCATCCCTTCCCCCTCACCCTATTTTTCATATCCAAAAAAGTTATGGCCTTCTAGGGGGTCTAGGGACTCCCTCCCCAAGTTTAGAGAGATCCTCAGGGGCCCATTTACCTCAAGAGTAGTAGGAGCATGGATTCTACATAGAGGCAGAGGAGAACTCAGAAATTACCTAATCAACCTTATTTTAAGGATAAACCCAAGCCAAGAGAGACCTAAGTGCCCCAGGATCTTAGATTCAGAGCTGTTGAGGACCTTAGAGGCTTTCTAGCCCAGACCCCTCATTTTCCCCCTGAAGTCAGAATAAATGGTTCTTGGGTCACATTCCACAGATGCCTACCCCACAATCGATACACCTGAGGCAGAAAAGGGTGGAATTATTCCTCACCTCTAGGACCTCTCCCCTAAAGCCCTACACGGATGATTTATCATGACGGAAGCTCTTTTAGAAAAGAGACCATCGAAGTTACGACTTTGAGTCCCCATCACCTAGTACAGTGCCTGGCACATAGTAGGGGCCTGATCAACACTTGCTGAATGCTGATTGATTCCTTCATTACGGAGATGAATCCTCCCTCTGTGAGTACAGGGAGAAGACCTTCCGTGCTTTTAGTGGGTGCTTTATTGAGCCAGACCTTTAAAAGTTTATGGGCAGTACCTTAGAGATCAACCAGTCCATCCTCACTTTTGCACATGAAGAAATTGAGGCTCAGAGAGGGATGGTGAATTGCCCAAAGTCATGCTATGGCAAACAATGATAATAATAATTAATAATAGTAATAGTAATAATAGCAATAATCCCTCAAGGTCTAATTTTGATGATGAACATTTGTCACTGAAGGGGGAATTTGTGACTCTACCCATATTTGAGGCCTTTTCTGCTTATTAGGGACTTTTAGGGTTTTTGTTCCCATGGTATTGGCCTGTGAGAACCCAGCATCACCTCCTAGGTATGATAAATCACTGGTGTAGGGCTGTAGGGGGAGGGTGACTAGAATCCGGGAAGTTAAACACAAGAACAATTCAACCCCTTTTTGCATCAGGTATATTGTGGGCACAGCTTATTTGTGATTTGACTCAAGAATCAAATAATTCTAGCTGTGTGGCTTAACTTCTGCCTGCCTCAGGTTTTTGATCTGTAAAATGGGGATAATAATAGCACTTAATTCACAGGGCTGTTGTGGTGATCATATTTGTAAAGCTCTTTGTAAACCTTAAAGCTCCATTTAGATCCTAGCTATTATTATTATTATTATTATTATTATTATTTATTATTATTAATCCTAAGGAAATATAAATTAGTAAGGAAACAGGTTTTACCTTCATGTCACTTATATTCTCCTGAGGGGGGAATAATACATATACACAGGCAAATTTAATTTGAAGTGTAATGTGATGTAGATAAAGGCACAGATATGGCAAGAAGTTTGAGAAGGGAGAGGTCATCTAGTTGAAATTTCACTTTTTATAGAGTCAGAAACTGAGGCTCACAGTGATTGGTAAAAGCAAAGACCAGGTAGCCAGAGAGGTCCAATGAATGCCAAAGGCAATTGATAAAGTAGAAGTGAAGCCCAAAGGGCAAAAAAAGATTCCCAGGGTCCCAGGGGTCTAGAAGTCTGCCACTGAGCAAATAGGGAGGGGAAGAAGTCACATGGATCCTTCATCACCCAAAACAAGTGGTCATGAGTCCAAAGGTTGGGAGGAACTCAGGGTCGTGGGCCAACGTCCAAGACACATACTCTCTGAAGGAGGTTCCTAACCCTGTTTCTGGGCTTTTCTGTGTTTCCTGGATGGCAGAAGCTGATCCCAATGGCACTGATTTGGGCCCCTTGGAATCCAAAGTCATGGCATCTCATCCCCTTTTCCATGTCTTCTAATAAATGGACCACGGCTATCTCAAGCCCCTGAAACATAGAATCGGTCAAAGCTTCTAAGATGGAAGGGACCATCTAATCCAACCCCCTCATTTTACAGAGGAGGAAACTGAGGCCCAAGAATAGCATGCAACACACTCAAGGTCACAGACATAATGACCATCAGAGGTAGGATTTGAACCCAGCTTCTCAGACTCAAGGGCCAGTATTTCCAACATGTCTCACTACTGCTGCTGCTGCTGCCACCCATTTGTTCATGCCATATTTCTGATTGGTATTGGGTATGGAAGCTGTATGTTTTTCTTGAAATCAAGATCGTGTCTCCTACTTTAACCCAGTGCCTCCCCTCCCTCTCTGTCTCTACTCCCCCACCCCCAAAATGAAAAGTAATACACTGAAAAAAATAAGAACTAGAGGGAAAACCTAGGTAATTGGGAAAATCATTAACTTAGTCAACAAATATTTAATGAACACATCTACCAAATACCCAGCACTGTGCTGGGCATGGGGAGAAGAAGGAGGAAGAAACAAAGATGCATCAGACAAAACACCATAGACTTGTTTTCATTTTCTTCTCAAGGGCAACTTTAAAGCAGGAGCTAAGAGTGGGAGGGAAGAGCTGCCTGGTGGAGACAGGTTGGAGGTGGAGGACATCTCGAAAGTGGGTGGCAAATATGCTGAGAACATCTGTAATTTGGGAGGGAGTGGAGGAATTTTAAATTTTCCAGAAGAAATCCCTACTTCAGGTCCCACTTTGATGCCTCCTGGAGGTGCAGGAAGGGTACTCTGGGTTCTCAAAGGTCTTGCCAACAGAGACCATGAGCTCTGGTGATGGTCTGATGGTCCTACCAAACTGGAAAGACTTCCAGAAGGGGCCTGGTGATATCTGATGTCTGTTCTCCAAATTCCAATAAAACCTAAGCTTCGTGAGGGCAGGACTTCCTCCACTTTTTCTTTGTATCTTCAGTGCCTAGCATAGTGCCTTTCATATAGAGGGCTCTTAATAAATGCTTGTGGATTAATTGATTGACCAGCCTGACTTAAAGTAGACAATGGACCTTTCCAGATTAGCTTTAGGACAATGAATTTTTTGGTTGGGCAATTGCTAAAGATCTAAATCACTCAGGAGTTGTACTTTTACAACTGTGGCCTACTCCTCCGAAATCACCTTGACCAATGATCATTGATTAAGAGCCACCCTCCAATATTCTTCCAGAAAAGGAGTCAGTTTCTCAGCGTCCCTCTTTACTACCATGAACCATCTTTGCTCATCGGCCATCAAACATTGACCAAGCACCTACTATGAGCCAGCAGTTTTCTGGACACTGGGAATGCAAAGATGAAGAATTAAGCTATCCCTCCCCTCATGGAGCTTGCATTCTAATTCAGGAGGACTCTTAATGTACAGTTTAGGAAACTGAACTGGCCTTTGTGGACGTGCCCCAAAACTTGGCTCATTGTGGAAGGTCAAGGTTGGCTCAAAGTAGTTGGGACTTTTGTATTTTTTTTTTCTGCTGGGAAGCCTGCAGGCCAGTTCTGTAATAACACTAAAACCTCAGTGTTATTTTCTTGATGTTTCTAAATTTTCTTCTTTTTCTCTTGAAGCCTGAGTCTCAACCTGATAATTTGTGGAATGTTGTGGCCCTTTAAAAAATGCTGCACGATTCGTTCGTTCATTTGTTCAGCACCTAAGAGGGTTGAACATGGAGCCATGAGAGATTTGGGTTCAAATCCCAACTCAATATGTACTAGCTGTGTGATGCTTGGCTTAACCTTGCTGTGCCTCAGTTTCCCCATCTGCAAAATGCGGATACTGAAATAAAGTGCTTGCAGATCTTAAAATAATATAGAAATGGAATTCACAACTGCTGAGTACTTGGAGGGATGCAAGAGATGTCCTGGGGCCTGGGGTTAGGAGTCAGGTGCCCCTCCCCTGGGGCTGGATGGCCTCTGAGGTCCAAGCCAACTGTGGACCTGTCTTTCTACCTCTGGACCAGCTCTCTGTCTGTTCTCCTTGATGGGCAAACAGTATGAACATCTGAGAAGCTTTGGAGAGGAAGGCTTGGGTACCAGAGCCCCCAGACACATCCTGTCATCAGGACAGTATCACCTGCCTCTTGGGGCCCCAGGTACTCTGCTAAAACTCATCCTGGAATAGTCATCAAGTTTCATATACACCGATGAAATTACAGCTCAACACCAAAAAGCACTCAACCTCCTTACATAACACTGAAGATTTACAACTCTCTCTCTCTCTCTCTCTCTCTCTCTCTCTCTCTCTCTCTCTCTCTCTCTCTCTCTCTCTCTCTCTCTCTCTGTCTCTCTCTCCCCCCCTCTTTTTGTCTCTCTCCCATCCTATTCCAGTACAATTACTCCTAAGATCAGAATGTCCAGGGGTATGCATTAACCCCTCCCTCCCAATTTTTTTTTTGCCCCAAGTGAATACAAATTCTCAGTCATGCCTCTGCATTTGCCTCAAATTATTTTGGATTTCCTAGGAAGCTGTGTGATACAGTGGATAGAGTAGTAAACCTGACCTCAGAAAGACCTGAATTAAAATCTGACCTCAGACACTTACTAGCTGTGTGACCTTAGACTTAACCTCTGCCTGCCTTAGTTTCCTTATCTGTAAAAATGGGCATAATAACAGCACCTACCTCCCAGAGTTGTTGTGAGGATAAGATAAGATCAAATAAGATATTAGTAAAGCACTTTGTAGACTTCAGTGTTATAGAGTTGCTATCATCGTTATTATTATTAATA